TGGTTTTGCCAATGCACAAAGAGCAGCGCCAATATATAAACACAGTATATTAACGTCTTCACCCCGCCATCCGCTAGCAGTCTGGGTTGTACGGTCCTTTTTTGACTTTATTAACTGATGTAAATTTACCCTGCCATACCTCCAGCGTACTGACCACCAGAGGCACACACTGCACACGGCGCACAGCACCCACAAGTTGGCTACTTCATGATAGGTGAATTTTTCTCCCACAAGAAAGACATAGAGATCGAGAGAAAGAAGACTCTCGGCTCTGGATGCATGTAAGCCTACGTATGCATATCACCAAAAAAGACGCTTTTCAAACACAGATCACACAGCAGAATCAGTTCATTGGCGTTGGGCTGTCGGGGCTGTACAACAGAGGAACCCTGTAGAACCGACAGCCCCGCTGTTCCGCCAACTTTATGCTTGTCCCAAGGGTGGTGGTACATGTATAAAGTATAACGAGGTTTGACTGTATATATATGCATTGATTCTAAACATGCCACATTTACGAACAATATGATGCAAGCGGCAAACTATTTAGAATGAATATAGATCATATCTATTACAGTTTACAAAGAATGTTACATAGTATGTTATATGTGCACAGTCTAACAAGCATGCTGCAAATACATGTACACAAAAATAGCGTAACACGCACACAGCAAACATATTTTTAGGCTCAATCTTTTCTAATTTAATCTATACTTTTCTCTGTATTGAAAAAAAAAGCTATAAAAAATAATAAAACAGGCACATAGTCATAGAGAAATTCGTGGATGGATAACGAAAACGTTTCCGCGCCCGGCGCGATTTCGCTCTTTTCTGCGAGAGGTCACTGTAAAAGGCAAGGTTCCTGTTAGCCCCTTTCGACCAAGGTAGCCTACTGCAGTTTGTCACGATCAGGGGTTGTTTTAGGTCACAATAATTTATTAGTTATTTCAAATTTGAGATTTTATTTATTTATTTATTTTAAATTTATTATTTTTAAAAACTGTTTGAGAACTAGATCTACACTCCTGTTGCCTCACTCTATATTCTATTTTCACCATCTTATAATCACCAAGCATTCACAGACGATTTAAAAGGGGTGATCAATAAATGACCTTTTTCTTTTAAAATCTTACTAACAGAAACTATAAGCCCAAAGCCTGTGTGCTTTAATCGTGGTTGAGCGCTAATTATATGTCATTAATTATTATTATTATTATTATTATTATTATTATCATTATTATTATTATCATTATTATTATTATTTGTTGTTGTTGTTGTCGTCATCAGCTAAGGAATCTTTATCCATCTAGTGAACCCTCAGTATCTTTCTCAGGCAAGAGATGAAAAAGTTTGTAGACATGTGTTTGGTACGGTACCGACACTTTATAGGACTCAGTACCATATAAAAGGGTTAGTAATACATTAGTGCTATACAAGCATTTCGTTTAAATAAAACTCTATGTAATCAGAAACAAGAGAGGTCCTGAACGCTATTTCCAAGTCTACCAAATGCAGAGGTAGCTTTGCCTTGCTTATAAAATATAAGCAACCTGAGCATCAGACCTGGCACGAGTAGAAACGACACTGTC